ATCCGGATTCACCGAGAAATTAGTCAATTGCTTAAAATAGACGTAGAGATGCCCAATTTTTCCTATATTTCATACAATCATAATCATAGAGGAATCATGCCATCACCATATTGATTCTGCTACCGGGTGACCAGAAAACGGTCCTCTGGATGTCCGGAATCACCGGCAATTTGATCAATTCCTGAAAGCAGACCTAGAGATCCGCGATTATTTCTAAATTGCATACAGTCATGAGCAAAAGGAAATACGCCATCACCAAATCGATTCTGCTACCGAGTGGACTAGTTCTCGGCTATATGATAACCAAATGAAGACATTTTTTGAAACTATGACTATTTACTTTCGAACAGGGAACAGATTGGACTTGTGGGTGGCTAGTCGGAACGAGAAAAACCATGAGAGGTGGCACTGCGGAAATACGGATTCACCGGGAAAATAGTCAATTCCTGAAAATAGACCCAGAGATTCACGATTTGGAAATTTCATACAATCGTACGCATAGAGGAAATATGCCATCACCATATCGATCATGTTACTGGGTGGCCAGATAAAGACTACCTAGATTAATAGACAAGTTCTTAGGACAAAAAATGATCCAAAATACATGTTACACATGATTTTTTTCCTGTATTAGAGATACTTGATTTTTTTTCATATTTAGTCACATCCAGTGATCGGAAAATCAGTTTTAAAATCTCAATAAACTCGCGTGCGAAACTACAACACATGCAATAAGTGTGCCTATTTATAGCACTAGTGCTCCAGTTTTTGGTCCTAGGGGTTAAATGAAATTTGAAATAAGGTTTCATGATTTTATATAAGGCAAACTACAAAAATTGACACACTTACCCTACTGATGGATTTTCATGAAAACCACTCAAACGTCAATGGATAGCATGCTCCTGCATGGTTTATTCATTTTCAATCAAATAATGCAAATTTAAAACTATTAACAATGAACATCGTGAAAATATAAAGCGTTAAATTATTCATCCGGAAATCTGTGAGTTTTTTTTTAAACTGAATTGCAATCTACAGAAATACACAATAGTTATTGCACCTAGTTGCATGACTGATTGGCTTGCAGCATCGTCAGCTCATCTATCTATTTAAAGCTTGCGAAAAAGGTAGAAACTCAGTTTGCAAACAAACTCATCATCTAGATTGTGAAAAATGAAAGCAATGTAAAAATGGCACAGTGTCGATTTTAGAACTATAGAGGGCAGGTTATTTTAAATATAATACCAAGCTCAGTTTCTAACTATAGTTACCGGAGATAATATACGTACAAGCAGTATTGGTTAGGTTACAGTATCATATTTAACTAAATTAATTGATACATAATTTCATACGTTTAGTTTGAATCAAATAATATGCATGATTTACAAGTTACGTTGACAACAAAACATGCAATCAATTTAATTTGACAGACCCTTACGGTTTACGTGATTAGAAAGTACTCCATTAATAACTGTGCATGTGCTTAATGAACACTAACTGAAGGCAGGCGCATAGCTTCAGTTGAGAATAACGTTCCGATTCGACGAAGAAGAAACATTTTTTTGTTAAACTATAATAATGTGGTAGCTTAAAGCATTTTTTTTCCTGAATTAAAGTTAATATCATGTCATACTAGTGCATTTGATTTGTTTTATTTCAACTGTCAATTTGAAAAGGGCCTTAATTATCAAAACATTAATACAAATCAAAGGAATACACCCAATTGTTTAAAGTATATCATACCCAATGACAATCACAATCAGGAATAAAAAATTTCTTTATCATTTACGACAAACTAATCAAATAATAATGGGTCACCAGTAACAGGAAACAGCAAACTTATGTTGTTTGTCATCTTGGCCAGCAATATTATAATATATATACGCCTTTTTAATGCACCATCAACGTAGAGTGCGCCACGGGAGTTCGAGAAGAAACGTCACCAAATCGTTTGTTTACATCAGAATAACTATTTTTCACAACGCAAATTAAAGAATTTTTCATTCAACATCTTGCCAATTTCGATCGGTAATTGTCTTATAGTATGATTTTCCACATATCTGAACTGATTTGTACCCTTACTATCCACACACAAGAAATCCGGAAGATCATAACCACTAAGGCACTTTTCTAATTTTTCATTTTTCGCAACAAAAATATTCCTGCACACCAGCAGGATCTTTGCAAAAACGTTACAGAATTAAATTTTTCAACTGTAGATTAAGTTTTGGAGCATCTCAGATGAATCAATTCATCAGGAAAAGTAAAAAAGTGTTCCGCTTCCTATGCCCCAAGGCAAAAATTTCTGCTCACAACACTCTTTTTGACGTTCTCCTATTCACCACCAGAGGTTGAATCGATCGTTTAGATCCCATTAAAAAGGCCTATAGTATAGTAAAAATATTTTACGTTATATCACTTCATCCACCGCACTATGGGCAAAAATGGGTCCAAAATTACCCAAAATTCAATATCTCAACAGCACGCTGAATTCCGGCCATGAAAAACGACTTTTCCGATTGCACGTGGTCTCATAGACCGGAGAGCCTTGTAGGTATGTGTTTTGGACCATTTTACCCCATTTTCCCCTACTTTTTGGAGGAAATGTTTTTTCACAGCTCTATTTTTCGTAAAACATAAGCACTTTATGCATGGTTTTACAATACTATGTCTTTAAACAACAGTTCATGAGATATTAGGGGAATACGGGGTACACTTTATAGGGGAGTAAGGGGTAACAGTGAAAATACAATCAATGTTTTTTAATACAAAATCCATTTTTTTTAATATCATATTATTTTTTCTGAAAAATACTTTTAATTAACTTTCATTTGGTATTTTGAGTTCCGTCATCGGCCAAACAGTTCAAAAGTTATACATTTTTGAAAAAAAATCGAAAAAAAAAATTTTTTTTTTTGACCGCCCTAATATATAAATAGTCACCCTAATGACAAAATAAAAAATCGCGGGTCTAATATGTTGCGATATGGATCAAAACTACCATTTTTTACAAAATTCTGAGAACCACTATATCGTTTTGCTGTATACAGACAAAAAAAGTGAAAACTCTTTTAAAACAGATAGGGAAGAGCGCTACTTCGTCGTAATCGCCCATTTCCGTTCTATCGAGCAGAAATCATCAATAATATCAATCATTTCACAATGCACAAAACAATAATACGTTTGTTCCGATGCGTTAGTTCATTAGCTACAACATAAATCCTATTAGAGCGCATTGTATGCATGTTTACGCTCATTGTTCTCAAAACAAAAGAAGCGCTCCTAGCGCATCCCCTTTTTCTCCGTTTATCCGTAGGACGAAGAAAATATAATGGCGTTTCAATGCGTTTGGACGGAATTGAAACGCGTAGGACGAATTTAGAAGCAAGAAGCAGTGTTAGATTTTTAATAATATCTCAACATTGTTTGACTCTTTATCAAATCCATGGAAAGGTGGATAAATTTAGAAGTTATCAGCGATGAAAACATTCCATGTTTTGTTCAAACCCTTTCCAAAAAGCGTGGTAAAGTGCTGGATGTCCTTAGTAGGACGGAAATTAGATCAAAAACCCTAGCAGTAAATTAAAACTTATTTAACCCCAATTAACCTTAAAATTTCGAAAAAAAATCTTATTATTGCAGGCAACCTTTGGGGTCATTCAAATAATCGCATCGTTCAACATTTTTATAAATTAAAATAAATTTAGCGAGGGTTCACTTTTACCCCTTACTCCCCTATAAAGTGTACCCCGTATTCCTCTAATATCTCATGAACTGTTGTTTAAAGACATAGTATTCTAAAACCATGCATAAAGTGCTTATGTTTTACGAAAAATAGAGCTGTGAAAAAACATTTCCTCCAAAAAGTAGGGGAAAATGGGGTAAAATGGTCCAAACACATACCTACAAGGCTCTCCGGTCTATGGGACCACGTGAAATCGACTCCCGGACGATTTCCCTTGGGAAAAGTCGTTATTCATGGCCGGAATTCAGCGTGCTGTTGAGATATTGAATTTTGGGTAATTTTGGACCCATTTTTGCCCGTAGTGCACCGTGTCACAAAGGGAATTTGTCACGACAATGCATGAAACATTGTCTTTATTATTGCTCGCTCATTCCCAGATAACTATCGCAAAAATCCGCAACATTTGCCAGGGAGAACTGCAGGAACAAGAACAACTTTTGCAACCAGAACTAATATTATGTAGACTTTTTCAATCATGGTTTATAAATTAAAGATTGCTGGGACATTTATCATTATGAATTGATGATTATCACAACTTCTCACTGAAATCACCACTAAAAAAAAATATCACCACCGAACTCAACTAATTCGGTAAGATCATAGTTCATTCATATTTAAGATTTGGAGTCAGACCATGCTAGCAAAAGAACGAAAGAAAGAAATCCCGATTGTCAGTTCTGGCTTGATGCATTTCTGGTTCTAGAGCAGGTTAATAATATAACCGCTATGCTGCAGGTAATGTAAAAGATGGACAAGTCCGTCGAAAAATGCGGATGGAATTTTATGTCTTCGTTTTTTTTGTAACCACTAGCTCCCAGCCCTAGGCAAACCCTGAACAAACTCAATCGATTGGGCAAAACAATGGAAACACATATTGATTCTACTGGCAATTCGGTCAATCTAGTATCAAGTATCAAGTACAAAGCAGGTTGATGCTTCGCGAAAAAAGACAAGCACATAGGTAACATTTTGTTATAAATTAAAGAACCAAGATAGAACACCTACCAGTTGTGCTTCTGAGACGATGCAGAACGCAAGAACAACCAGTTCCTACCGATGGTCGAGAAGAGTGATTTTTCTGTCGGTTATAATCAGTGTGCTATGTGTTGAGAGAGGATACTCATGGAATATTAACAAACATAGGAATACGGCATACGGAAAAACCGGAAAACAGGATAAATTTAGAAGTGCGTAGTGTTAGTCGAGATGAAATAGGTCAAATATACACGAAGACATTGGTTTGTTGGTATTTCAGATGTCCAGAAAGAGTACGATTTCATTATCGTCGGAGGAGGTAACGCCGGTGCTACATTAGCCAATCGGTTGTCCGAGGTTTCTCATTGGAAGATTCTACTGATAGAGGCCGGAGGAACGGATAACTTTTTATCGGAAATCCCATTTATGGCGGCGTACCTTCAATCAACGGCGCTTAATTGGAATTTCATTTCAGAAAAGCAAGAAGGCAGTTGTTTAGGTCAGTGAGCTTGAAGTGCGTGATAAACTGTGACTAAATTGTTTTTTTTTATTATTATTATAGGGATTATAAACGAAACATGCCCCATGCCCAGGGGCAAAGGGCTTGGAGGTAGCACACTAATCAATTACATGATCTATAACCGTGGTAACCGTGCAGATTTCGATGGTTGGGCAGCTGCAGGCAATGAAGGGTGGTCTTACAATGATGTGTTACCGTACTTTATGAAATCCGAGCGCGTTACCTTTCAGGATACTAACAAAAAGCCTAAGCATGGAAAGCGTGGTCCAGTGAATGTGGAATATGTCGCATACCGATCTCGACTTGTGCATGCGTTCGTTAAAGCAAACGAACAGCTCGGTCGCAGTATAGTGGACTATAATGGCGATTCTCAGCTTGGCGTTGATTATCTTCAAGCCACAACTAAACGTGGTAAAAGAGTAACTTCAGCATCAGCATATCTCAAATCCAGCCAAAACCGAAAGAATTTACACATTCTCACAAAAGCCAGAGCAACGAAAGTTTTAATCAATTCTAAAACAAAAGTTACAACTGGTATCGAATTTTTATGGCAAAAGCAAATGCATCAAGTCCATGCGAAAAAAGAAGTAATACTATCAGCGGGTACGATCCAATCACCTCAACTTCTTATGCTATCCGGTGTAGGTCCAAAGGAGCATCTCGAAGAGCTCGGCATTCCGGTCTTGATCGATTCCCCAGTCGGAAAATCTATGTATGATCACTTGTGTCTCACATCGCTGGTATTTTTGACTAACACTACAATGGATTTCTTTGATACTGATCGGTTGGGAGTAGGAGATGTGCTGCAGTATACGCACGGAAAAGGAACACTCACCGTCCCAGGTGCACTTGAAGCTTTAGCATTTATTAAAACTGAAACTTCCAGCGGACCATCTGATGTTCCTGACATTGAATTGCTGTTCCTCGGTGGCTCTCCTGCATCCGACTATGGTACGGGTTCGGTCCGTGGCTTCTTCTGGAAACAAGAGATCTATGATACAGTTTTCAAACCAACTGAACATAAAGATCAATTTACTATTGCCGTTATGCTATTCCATCCCAAATCGAAGGGTTACATACGACTAAAAGACAGCAATCCTCTTCATTGGCCACTGATATATCACAACTTCTTAACCGAACCGGAAGATTTAGCTACAATGATTCAAGGAATAAAGGAAGCATTGCGATTAATTGAAACACCAGCCATGAAGGCGATAGGAGCTTATATCAACGAAACGCCGATACCTACATGTGCTAGATTTCAATTCGGAACGGACAGCTATTGGGAATGTTTGTTACGATCGCTGGCAAACACCCTGCACCATCAAGTGAGTACTTGTCGCATGGGTCCAGAAAACGATCCAGAAGCCGTGGTATCCCCGAAGCTTCAAGTATACGGAGTACAAAATTTGCGAGTCGTTGACGCCAGCGTTATGCCATACGTCCCAACAGGTCACACACAGGCACCGGTTTACATGATAGCAGAAAAGGCTGCAGATATGATAAAAGACCACTGGAATTGGGGAAAAGAGCTCAAGAATGACGACTGAAAAACTCCAAATTGCATGATCTCAATTAACAAACCATTTGTATGAAGTGACTTTAATGTAATTTATTCACAATAAATTTATGAACTAAATAAACTGGACTAAAAAAATTAAAGAAAAGAAACAACTATTAAACAGTTGAACTAAGATGCCTCGAGATTATATTCCGATCTCATCAAGAAGAAACATAAAACTGCACTTCGACAACGAGTATGCCAGGACACGTTGAATCGATAGAAGTTCATTGTGATAGGCATAAACTATGCGGCATATAAACGACGCTTTGCGAACAAACTGTCACAAGGAAGAGTAACTTGGACAAAACCCTGGCCAAAATTAAGTATTGCTATTTTGAGTGATATTAGGCATTTTAAAAAAATACAAGAACAATAGTTTATCACATTTGTTCTTAAATTATATAGAACAAAAGGCTCGCAAACACCAAGCTGGATGAGCCCGGACGAGTTTTCACCAGAAATGTGATCATACCAACTTGAAGTTTCGTTCGTCCATTCATATGATCGAACCACGCAGAACTTAAAACAAAAAGTACAAAACTACTTAAAAATCAAATTTTATAAAACTTCTTTAAAACAAGTTCAAACATTGAAATATTGAGACCATTATCCATCAAGTAGTTGGCATTGAAGACAAGGAACACATTTTCTGAGAAACATTGACTAATGATCATACGGGCTGTTCCTAAATAGTTGGTTTTAAAACCAAATATAGCTCTAAATTATTTCCATGTGAAGTGTTCAACTCAACATTTTTATACATCATTTAACATATTTCGACCGCTGCCACAATGTGCTCCATATGTTTCAGTATACAACAAAAAAAACAAAGAACACCGCAACAAAAGTTTTTTTTTTCTTATTTTGACCAGCTTGTTTGCATCTGAGTGTCACTCAACCCTCTCTAGCATCTTTTAAACCGTTAGGAGATAATACTTTCAGAAAAAAGTTACTTATAACTTTTTAGTTTGAAGCCAATCGAATATTGAACACATAGCGGAAATGCCTTTAGTGTTGGCATATCCCAAGGAACATTGCTAGTTTTATCGAGGTTTTAAAGCACTGGGCCCATCGTCAAAAAATGCTTTCTTTCCAAATGTATGTAGGGACACTTAGGCCGACATTAAGGACATTATTTCCAGAACATTCATTAAGCGAAGGCATGACATCGGACGTTTGTTTGCAATCATCGTGAGCAAAATAAATTTTTATCTTGCTTGAGTGATACACCCAACATGACATGGCATGGCAGGTTAAGCCCGGGACACATTACATCCTTTGTTGATGCGTTTCGTTTTAAAATTAAGGGTAGCTACGAGAAATATGAAATAATCTGCGCGAACTTCACAGCAAATCCGCAACAAATCCCCAAAAAATTTGCGCCATAATAAGTCTGATAACAGATCTGCGCCGAATTCGCGAAAATTGCAAATATTGCCAAATCCACAATGTCGTAAAAACTCTGAAAATTTGATTAGAAAAAAATAACATAAAATGTTGAATAACTCACTTAGCAGTCCTTTCCGACCTTATGTTTCATGGGGATTTTTCATAACATTAGGAGTCCTATCTATCCTAAAAATATATTAAACCCACAACCAAATACCCTGTATATATTATATACACTTAATCACGGTAGCCGGCGCCGGTGGTGTAGTGGTAAGCGTGACTGCTTTCTAACACCCCAATGGGTCTGGGTTCAATCCCAGCCGAGGTCGGTGAGATTTTTCTGAGGCATAAAAATCTCTGGTCACGTAGAGCCGTTGGTCCCGGCCCATGTGTGTTGAATGGGTGCGATATCCTACGCAGGTGTGAAAGCTGCCTTCCTGCACATTCGGTTGCCGTCAATGGATGGCAATCGATGTCCGTCGGTGATTGGCACTAGATTGCGGAACAGAGACCGACGTTAAATAAAGGAAAAGAAGAAGACTTAATCACGGTTTACATGGTCGGTAATTTTTTTACAGTTTTCAAACTGTAAATCACACAAATTATCGACCATTCAGCTATTCTCAATAGAACTACTGATGGTCAGTAGATTTTGCGACAAACTACTATGTATGGTAAAATCAAGTACTGAGTTTACCGTATAATAATAGCTTTACGGTGAATACATAAAACTCAGTAATCAGTTGATCACACAAGCAAATCAAATTACTTGCGTCATCCTCTTCCGATTCACTTCACGCACTTGACGATGGAAAGCTCTTTGTGAAAACAATAAACCATTGTGAAAATCAATGAAACATTTGGAAGCCAATGCAGAAGTGCAGAAACGGCCACGGGATTGGGCAGTTTATGCACTTCTGCATCGACTTCCAGATGATTCACTGATTGAGCAAAAACATCCAATAAAATTGCCTCATGTAGATCTTCCGACTTAGGCACGCAATCCGGCACACCGAGAGCCACCAGCCGGTTGAATCAACAGGTAGCAGTCACCGCTCAACTTTGACTAATTCACTTTGAAAATCATTATTAAATAGCAGTTAATTTATGTTTTGTCAAAAAACTGAAATAAAACGCTGAAAAACTCGGTAAAAACTTTAAACACATTACTGAAAAAGACAGCAATTATTTTACTAACTTCTTTTTCCTTTATTTAACGTCGGTCTCTGTTCCGCAATCTAGTGCCAATCACCGACGGACATCGATTGCCATCCATTGACTGCAATCGAATGTGCAGGAAGGCAGCTTCCACACCTGCGTAGGATATCGCACCCACTCAACACACATGGGCCGGGACCAACGGCTTTACTTCCCTTCCGAAGGAAGACGTGACCAGAGATTTTTATGCCTCAGAAAAATCCCACCGACCTCGGCTGGGATTGAACCCAGACCCATTGGGGTGTTAGAAAGCAGTCACGCTTACCACTACACCACCGGCGCCGGCTATATTTTACTAACTGAAACGGTAATTTTTGACATTTCAGAGATTGTACGATTTACGGAGTTTCAGTTAAATGAAAACTACTGGGTTAATTACTGAAATCTCAGCAGTTTTTACCGACTCCGGCAATCAATATATATGGAATGAGTTGAAGAGGTAATAGTTAATGTGAGGGCAGCCGAGCAGAACGCACGCGTGTTCTGATAATTATATTAAATTAGTTTATCGCATACGATTTGTTCTCGAGTGAGCTTTTAATGTGATATTGTTAACCGGTGATCGGATGTCATTAGCTCCGTACCCAGTGCGCTGTAGTTTAATTCAATCTGATTGATTTGGATTTTGCAAACATTTTGTTTCGGAATTGGCTGCAGCAATAGTACTTTTCTGCTGCTTTCATATCATATTTTGTGATACGGTATGACCTTGCTCGCGGTTGATATATTGTTTGATGCGACTTAGAAAAAATCATGGAAATTTAGGTTCTCAGATACTGACATATACGAGCGTCAATTTTGACATACAAATGAGTCATAACAGACGCGAAATTCAACGCAATGTAACGTACTTTTCGTCGAGTAACGAACTTTTCATTCTCAGAGCATTTAAATTACAATTTTACATGAAATATTTGTTTACGTCCGATCCTTTATGTCAAAGATGGATTCCGTCACGGGTAAAATTAGTTATTTCCAAGTGTGTAGTTATTTGCCTACGCGAGTGTGGTGTGTTCCAAGAAGAAAGGATACCGAAAACACATTCAATCATGGCAGTGTTTGAGCGGTGCGAGAGTAAAGGTGATATGGAAGAAGTCTTGATCATATCGTGCAGAGGGTGTGCGTGGGAGTTTCTGTGTATAATGCCACCGGACGCTGATCATGAGCAGGCATCCAAATTGTCCCTATCCATTATCCATTATCCAATTTATCATTGGATATTATCTTTATCTCTATCAAGATAATTTTAAAACTTCGAACAGTTTATATATATATAAATATTTTTTTTCTTGATTTGTGCTCCGTCGGACTTGTATTCCGTACTGAGTACCAATGCTACCGATGCCAGGGAGGCAGCTTCCACAGCTGGACTCTACTTTTCGACCCATCAACTCATGAACCGGATTTACTTCCCTTCCGAAGGAAGACGTGATCAGTGATTTTATGCCTCAGAAAATCCCGACTGGGATTGAACCCAGGGCTGCTGGGGTGAGAGGCAATCACGCTTACCACTACACCACCGGCGCCGCTTATCCAACACAGCAAAAAAATAATTTTGATATCACATCAAAGTGGATGCACTACAATCATGTCGAAAATTTCATGTAATTTTTATGACCACATAAATAAACAAATGCAGTAAAAGCAGCGTAATGTCAGTTCATGCATTGTATTAATGATAATTTTGTCCTTTTTAGCAAGTAATATTACACCATATTTTCGACATGATTGTAGTGCATCCACTTTAACGTGATATCAAAATTATTTTTTTGCTGTGAAGGCGGCTGTCATCGGGTTTCAGAAAAAGTGTCAAACACCCTATAATATGGGTATTTTTGGTACGGGGACAACGCATGATGCTAAAAATCGATATCTGACGCCATTTCGGAATCCAGAATAGCGGACATCGGGTTTCAGAAAACGTGTCAACTACCCATCAACATGGGTATTTTCGAAAGATGGACGACACGTAGATGCTGAAAATCGATATTGGACGCCATTTGTAGGGTATTTGACACTTCTTCTGAAACCGGAAGCCGCTATTTTGAATTTCAAGATGGCTTCGGACATCTATTTCCGGCCTATATATATCACTCCAACTCCAAAAATTCCATTGATGGGTATTTTACAGTATTTCACATTTTGTTTTCGGAATTCATATTTCAAAATGACGTCGGACATCGGTTTCTGGCCTCTAGACGTCACTGGGATTTATAAAAAAAATCATATTGATGGGTATATGACAGTGTTTCCCACTTTTTTGGTAATCACAAGTCGCCATCTTGGATTAAAAGATGGCGTCGTATATCAATTTTCATTCTCTAGACGTTACTCCAACCCCAAAAATACCCAAATTGATGGGTATTTGACAGGAAATAT